TTTAGTTATATGATTCATTTTGGTAGAGCAAAAAGTAATTATTTTCGGTACATTGCATGATATCTTTCATAAGCAATTGATTTTGGTACGTAATTACTAGTGACTTATAGTCAGCTTTGGTGGTGAATTTGACATCTAGTTAGCATCTACCATAAGGTGATCGGGACTGGTCGTGTCAATGGTTGCTTTGTTAGTGGCATAAAATATATGATTCACTAGCACGAACATATTTTTGAAGTGGAGGACTGATTTTTCAAAAAGTTTGATTTAAGTTAAAAATATAAAATATTTATGGCAAAAAAAAATAAAAAAAGGGAAAGAAAGAAAGAAATAAAAATGACTTTGGTATAGTGTCAGGACACGAAGAAGTCACTCTAGTTGAAGTGTTTGTGCAACAGAGATAGAAAAAATTTCCATTTTGGTTTCGAATCCAAGACAAAAGATATCTCGATAAAGAAGTTCGTTGAGTGACGTGTTTGATAATGATATGCCCTTTATAAGTAACACATGCCATCTGAGTGCCTCATGGTGATCTAAAGAAGCTAGATGGTAACACAATTATCATTGACAAAAAAAAAATAATAATGATAATAAATAAATAATACAAGCCATTTAATGCCTATATTTCACAAATAAGTATTTATTTCTCGTGAAATTCAGCCCTTGGACTACATCCTAATAGGTTTTAAGGAAAAATATATTTTGAAATAGTGATTTTTTTGGAGAGTGTGGTTAAAAAAGAAGAAAGGTTAAAAAAGAAGAAAAAGTTTCGAATTTACGTGTATTATTATTTTATTAAAAAAAGAAAGAAAGAGAAAAATACATTAAAATTAAAATGAAGTCGGGCTCAACTGGTTTAAAGAATGTGATCACCCAATTGTGGGTTTCCTATTTATTTGTTTTTATTTTATCTCTACACTCACCAACAACATGATTGAGATAGTAGGAAGGATAATGACAAACAATCGGTATTATATTGCAAAATTAAAATTCAACTACGTTTTTAAAAAAAAAATGCATAAAAATTATTATAGCCAATACTCTACACATATTATTATAATCGAATTTTCTTATAAAAAAAATGGAACTTATTAAGTAAAGAGTTTTCTAAGAGTTGTCAAATGCGATCCAACGTAAACTCTTAGTGAGAATGATTTTCCAAAAAAATGTATAATACTAATTTATCGTAACAATTATTTATTTTAAGTTAATAAAGTAGAGAAAGTGAGTAAATTAGTTATTTAAAATGTTGCATTTTATTCTCTTTTAAGTATAACGCAAAAATACCCAAAATGGCCAAAAAATTGTTCACCAACGAAACCAAAGTTACATCTTTTATTATGTTTAGAACTTGTTCGGTAATGATTATGATAATTGATTTTTTGACTGTTAGAGAGAAAAGTGAGTTTCACCAATGAGAGAAGAAATAAAAAATGATGACTGACTTAAGGAAGTAACGATCAAAAATTTGATTTTTTGGGGTGAAAAATATAACCAAACATACACTTAATATTTTAAACTAGATAAGTCCAAATATAATAATTGAACTGTGAGAAATGAATCATATGAGCATCATGAATAAACGAGATAAATATGTAATTCGGAGAGAATTTATAGGCGAATATAATGACTTTGAGGTAGGACGAGATAGAAAATCACATAGTTCCACTACAAAATATATAGAGTCGACCAATAACACTATATACTTGTAATATTAAAGGCAACTAACCGATTATATCATTTGCCATGAAGTAACTATGGCCTTCCTTGTAATGCAAATGAGCAAAGTTTGCTTTCATTTTCAGAAAATAACACGTTGCTTATACGATAAAAAGTAGAATTGGAACTTTTAATAAACGGGTTTCACTCCACATGCTAGACTCAAAAGTGTACAAATTCCATTTGATTGAGCATGTGAATATGTACCTCTCTTTAGGAGGAATAACTTTTTGTTGTAAAATATAAAATTATTATTTCCTTTTTATTTGAAAATCATTTGCTCTTCTAAATTATTAATCCATATTGACCTTTTTTCCAAGTTATATGTAACTTCCATTTATAACGTCTTTTGGATTCATGGTTCGATCTCCCTCGTATTTACTGCTTATATTTTACATGGTTCTTTCTAAGATAGACAATTTAAGATACCATCTTTTGTCGAAACTTACATCTAAAATCGATCTATCAAAATGGCCCGACACTAAATTCAATTGCTTTAAAGATCACGTCGAGTATGTTGAAGTGCATTATCACATGCTATAACACTAACTTAACAAAAAAGCGTGTGCTTTCTGATTTTGTGTTCTACCTCTACTAGTGGAGAGGCTATATCTTTACAAGTTTGAATAATTGAAAGTCTCTTTTTTCGTAGTCAAATTTCCTTCAATTTTTTTCTAAATTATTCGGTGTAGTTAAAAATTAAATTATTTGTAAATTAATAAAGTTGATAAAATGTATGATTAAAAATTTGATCAAAGTTATAGATCCCTTAAAATGTATAATGAAAATTATTAATTTTATTTAATTATTATTTAATAATTTAATTTTTATCAAATTTTTTTAACAACACCAAACAATGGATAAATGGCACCAAATTTTATTATAAATGCTATGTAGCCTCATTGCGACTGCAACTTCAGAGGTGACATTAAATGATAGATTAAATAAAAAATTAAATGAGTTATTTAATTTTATTTATCAATTAATATTACATTAAAATTATAATTTCAATGAAGTTTAACGGCATCACTCAAATTTAATTGGTCCCGAAATGAAAAGCTGTCCGCTAGTGGTCCATTCTCTAATGTGGACCCCATTAAAGAAAGTGCAATGCGCTTTCAGATTCCAGATCAGCTTTCGGAAGTCCATTTGCTTTCAGATGTGATTATCCAGTGTGAACCACTTATATGGTCCACAGATTACGCCAACCAAGTCACAACTCATAGCCACGTGGCGATTTATTAGTGGCGGTATGAGGGTAGCCGTAGTTCCACTGGATCACATACAGGTTCAAAAAGTCAATAAACCCGCCCAGGGTGACAAAATCACATGATCCAAACAAAAATAGATGAAAAATCTTTCTCAATTAATAATTATTAAAATCAGATTTGCATATATAAATTTAATCTTAAAAATTATATTATTGTGTGATCTTGTTCTGCATCAGGTACTAAACATTGAACAAATTAAATGACTATGTATATAAGTTAATTTCGTCCTTAGAAATGAAATAAAAAGACTTTGAACGAGTAGATTTAAAAATAACGTTAGATAAAAATCTATGACAAACATAAATGTTACAAGAATCATGAGCCATTAGCATTGTTATAAAAATGTAATTGAAAGAAACGATTTAACGATATGGTTTGTTGATCCCTGTAAATTGTGTTAACGTAGAATACTCCATATTCGGGAGTCAAAGAGTTAGAAAATATTTTTTAACCATTTAAACTTTACTATTTTAACTTAAGCCAATGCTTGGAGCTTTTAAAACATTGGTTATTAGTTATTGAATATATATACCCTTTAGTCCTGATGAATATTAAAATCAAATTACAATTTTAAGTCAAGGAAAAAAATGTATGTACAGAGGGGGGACTACCGAACCATGTCCCCCCTCTCACATAACACGTGGTCCCCGCGTGTATTAAATAATGTCGAGTCGTGGCCCCCACCTCTTATTGTGAGTAGTAGGTAAAAGATTAGGTAAAAAAATTCGGTACGTATAGCATGATCCTTAAGTCAAATAGAGCTAGATGTTATATTTATTTTTTTATAAATATTTCGTTTCCAATTGTATTGAGATTTTCAAGAAAAATAAAATAATTAATTTATTAAAATAAATTGATATTATTGGGAAAATTATAAGTTAATTTCGTCCTTAGAAATGAAATAAAAAGACTTCGAACGAGTAGATTTAAAAATAACGTTAGATAAAAATCTATGACAAACATAAATGTTACAAGAATCATGAGCCATTAGCATTGTTATAAAAATGTAATTGAAAGAAACGATTTAACGATATGGTTTGTTGATCCCTGTAAATTGTGTTAACGTAGAATACTCCAAATTCGGGAGTCAAAGAGTTAGAAAATATTTTTTAACCATTTAAACTTTACTATTTTAACTTAAGCCAATGCTTGGAGCTCTTAAAACATTGGTTATTAGTTTTTGAATATATATACCCTTTAGTCCTGATGAATATTAAAATCAAATTACAATTTTAAGTCAAGGAAAAAAATGTATGTACAGAGGGGGGACTACCGAACCATGTCCCCCCTCTCACATAACACGTGGTCCCCGCGTGTATTAAATAATGTCGAGCCGTGGCTCCCAACCCTTATTGTGAGTAGTAGGTAAAAGATTAGGTAAAAAAATTCGGTACGTATAGCATGATCCTTAAGTCAAATAGAGCTAGATGTTATATTTATTTTTTAAAAATATTTCGTTTCCAATTGTATTGAGATTTTCAAGAAAAATAAAATAATTAATTTATTAAAATAAATTGATATTATTGGGAAAAGTACACAAGTCCTTAGGGGAGACAATATACGAGCCGAGCGGGCTTGCTCGCCCACGTGCGGGTGGCTCATAAAAAAAAATGGGAACAAAAGAGTCAAAAAAATTAAAAAAATAAATAAATTCTTGAGCTCGTGGACTCGACTTGTGAGTCATGAGCTCATGGGCAGAGCCAAGCTCGGTGTAGGCTCCATCCATTGCCATCCCTATAAGTCCTTGTTTGACAATTGTTATTTAAAAATTCTTTTATTTTTTTTATTTTTCTATATACTCATTTTAACGACACATTTATATAATAAATTATTGTACACTAAATTCAAAAAATCTTCTTATATTTTAATCATAATTTTTTTTGAAATCAATATTCAAAATATTATTTTGACCAAATAATGGCATACTAAACATTATTATTCTTTGAAGAAATAGTAAAATAAAGGGAGCCTCTGAGCTCAAACTTGGAAACAAAGCGCCAAGAATTGTAAATTTAGGCGCGGCGGTGATAGCTCCCTTCAACATTTCAACGTCTCTTCTCCTCTCCGCTCCGCACCCCACCTATACATACATATATACATATACTTTTTTCAATCATTCGATTCCCATTCTATTCCATCCTTATTTCTATTAATATTTTTTATTCTTCATAATCAATTCATCCAACAGCATATATTGTCTCTTCATCTTCTATATATATATAAGGGTAATAATGGACGAAAAGCTATAGCGACCCCATGTATTTCTCTCTGAAGGAATATATTTCACGTTTTTGATTCAAGGATCATCACGGTATGATGATTTTAATGCTATTTTATTGTTTTGTATTTCTGATATCTGCAATACTTTGATGGGTTTTGCTTTTTTATCTTTTGAATTATGTGTTTAATTTCTCATCGTCAAAATAGGGATTTGTATTGGATAGAATAGCACGAGGCTTATTGTTTTCATGTTTAACCTGCTTGTAGGATGGTGCCTCGTTTTAGAACACTAATATTTCATTCAGACCTGTTTGAGGGTTAAATAGATGGATTTGCTCGTTTGAACTTTGATACCATAAGGTGTCTAGCGTTTCAACTTGATTAATATTTTCGCTTTTAAGCAACATGGATTTTACCCTTAACACCAATTGTTGAATTTGGCCTGTTATTGTTAATTTCTCAACGTAAATTGCTTTTTGATTATCATAATTTTACGCTTTATGGTTCTTTATTCAGATTGGTTTATGATGGAAAGCAAAAGTGGATAAAACTAAGGAATACCAGAAAATCTCGAAGCTGGAACTCCTTCTTCTTACGCCCTAACACTAGTGATAAATTGAAGACAAGATTAATACTCTTTTCAATCTCTGAGATTCCAAATTTTCTTGTGGTCGTACACATCTAGTTTTCTCGACATCTACAACATAATTGATAAATTTCAGGTACATTACATTAAGATTGTTCTTATCTTTATTGACCTTGGTAATTGAGACATCATTGAATATGCATTAATCAAGATAAAATAATTCCCTTATATATCCTTTCTTTAATGCAACACAGTGGTTAGGACTTGGAAGTTAGATATGCTTAGTTATTGATTTTACCAACTGAACTTCTTGAATTTTGCATGATTATGAGTTGGCAGTTAATGATTTTAATTTCTTTCAGCAATATTTTTTCTAGGCAGAATCAGGAGGAAGAAATTTGAGCCAGCATTGATTTATAACCAGTGTCTCAATGTCTGAGCATGTCATGGATGGATCAACAGGGGAGAACATCATAAATGAACCCGAGAGACATTATGTGCCTCACAAAGAAATTTTCACTGAGAGGTCTCCAAGAAGCCCCTTGATTACGCACAGTCCACCATTGAGCACACTGAGCCGCGAGAGTGACTCTATTCATCTGCCATTGGATGAGGCAGTTGATACCTCTATTGAGCAATTGTATAACAATGTATGTGAGATGCAGAGCTCTGATCATTCACCCTCAAGGTATAGTTTCTTATCATATGGGGAGGAGTCGAGAATTGATTCTGAGTTGCGGTTTCTTGCTGGAGGAGATTACCTTGAGGTGGAGATAAAAAAAGAGGTGGTGACCGAACATAATGGAGGAGACACTAATTCTGAGGAAGAAAAAAGATCTAATGAGGACCTTGAAGACACAAATAAGATCCATCCTTATCCCACAGAAGCAAAAAGACTTTCTCATTTGCAATTCAACTCTGAAGCCTCTCGTAAGGCTAATTTAAGGAGCAAAACTTTTCAAGGGAGACCACCAAAGGCGAAGGAAAATGTGAAGTCTTTGAAGAAGTTGAGTTCAGTTTCCTTTCCTAAAAATGAAAGGAGTTCTGCTTTAGAAGGGATGAGATTGCAGAATGGAAATGTTGATCATCGTGAGCCAGGATACCTTGGACCATATCTACTCAAGCAGGCAAGGGACGTCATAGCATCTGGGGATAATTCTCAAAAAGCTCTTGAGTTGGCTCTTCGAGCAATGAAATCATTTGAGAGACGTGCAAATGCCAAGCCTAATTTAGATCTAGCTATGTGTCTGCATGTAGTTGCAGCAATATACTGCAGGCTTGGCCAGCATACTGAGGCAATTCCCATTCTTGAGCGATCGATTGAAATTCCAGTGATGAATTTGGGCCAAAATCATGCACTTGCTAAATTTTCCGGGTGCATGCAGTTGGGTGATACCTATGCGATGCTTGGGCAGATCGAGAACTCTATTCTGTGTTACACTGCAGGTTTGGAGATTCAACAACTAGTTCTGGGGGAAAAAGACCTTCGATTTGGCGAGACTTGTAGGTATCTGGCTGAAGCTCATGTTCAGGCAATGCAATTTGGTGAAGCTGAGAAGCTATGCCTGATGGCACTTGACATTCATAAAGAGAAAGGATCCTCAGCTTCTCCTGAGGAAGCAGCAGATAGGAGACTTCTGGGACTTATTTGTGAGTCTAAGGGAGATTATGAAGGTGCTCTTGAGCAATATGTTTTAGCAAGCATGGCTATGGCTGCCAATGGCCAGAATGCAGATGTGGCTGCCATTGACTGCAGCATTGGTGATGCATATTTATCTTTGGCACGGTATGATGAAGCTATATTTTCTTATCAGAAAGCTCTTAATATGTTAAAGTCGAACAAAGGAGAAAACCATCCGTCAGTTGCTTCAGTCTTTGTCCGTTTGGCTGATTTGTACAACAAGATAGGGAAGTTCAGTGATTCTAAATCTTATTGTGAAATTGCACTTCGCATATATTCTAAGCCTCTCCCTGGAAATCTCCTGGAGGAGATTGCTAGTAGTCTAGTGGATATTTCTGCTATCTATGAATCCATGAATGAACCTGACCATGCATTGCAGTTACTTCAGAAAGCCATAAAGGTATATGGTAGCACACCAGGTCAACAAACCACAATTGCAGGAATTGAAGCCCAGATGGGGGTCTTGTTCTACATATTGGGGAGTTATTCTGATTCTTACGACTCTTTAAAGAATGCCATCTCAAAGTTTCGTGCAACTGGAGAAAAGAAATCTGCCCTTTTTGGCATTACTCTGAATCAAATGGGCCTTGCCTGTGTGCAACTTTATTCAATAAACGAGGCTGCTGATTTTTTCGAAGAAGCCAAGAGCATTTTGGAGGCTGAATGTGGGCCGTATCATGCTGACACTTTAGGAGTTTATAGCAACCTTGCTGGAACCTATGATGCAATGGGCAGGTAACTGCTTGTTCTTTAATGTTGCCATAGTTTATTCTGATATCATCTTCCTATTATAGTTGTCCACATAAAGCAATTCGCAAGTTAACTTTATAAGTTTTCTACTTTAGACATGAATTAGCTTTTCCCATCACATTTTCAATCTAAATCTTGTTTTGGTGTTTTTTAAGAAAACAAATAATCTTCAAACGGCTTAACCATTTTTATGTCTGAACCTCGTGGACTAAATATGTGTAGGACTGATGATGCAATTGAAATCATGGAATATGTGGTTGGGATGAGAGAGGAGAAGCTCGGAACAGCAAATCTTAATACAGATGATGAGAGACGCAGATTGGCTGAGTTGCTAAAAGACGCAGGAACAGTCAGGCGCAGAAAATCCTTGTCACTGGAAATGTTACTCGTTAATACCTCTCAGACTGCAATGAATGACAGCATTATGGTATCATGAATTGTCAATTATTTTCTTTTTAGACTTCAGAAGTAAATTTCCAAAAAAAGAGGAGGGGGAGGGGGAGGGGGGTTGGATTTCTTTTCTGGGTTCGTTTGTAAATGTGAATTGATGAAATTCCTTTTTCACTATTTGTATCTTAATGGTTTAATAAAGTAATGGTTGGTTTTAATTATCATTTGTTGTTTCAGCTACTTTTGATTGAAAGCATTCAATAACTATTTTTCATATGAAAAACTGTCATTTTCTAATTTGATGAATGGCCTATTTAATATTTAGTTGTTTCCTGAAAGGTAATGAGCATGTTAGGATAAGGTTATAAGTTACTTAAACTTTTAAGTAATTTTAATTTCAAACATGCTTTGATACGTTTTTCTTTTCTTTACTTTTGTCAGCACCTTCTGTCTAAACAACAACTGCATATTTGATATTTTAATAAAGGCTCAATTGCCACATACTAAGATTCGAGAAGTAATATTGTCGACGGTGATACATCGTCTTGGTATTGGATGACTTGACTTATTTTTACACGTTATCTAACTAATAATAAAAGAAGAAAAGACTCCAATTTATCAAAACGTCCTAGTCAAATACTACATTGTGAAATTTTACACGTCAACTATTGTGAATGACGTGTCTTCTAAGTATGATTGGACGTACGCAATGATTGATAGATTGTTGCCAATGCATTAATTTATCATAGGCGATTAGCTGGGCTAGTTTTCCATAATGTAATTCTCATACCAAAATTGAGACTCCAAAAATTATATTGCCAAAAAAAAAAAAAAATGAGGAATTGCAATCGATCTTATTAATTACATTTATGTCATATTTAATAAGGGAAAATTAGACAAGACTTGACAGCACTAAAGGAAAAATATTTATCGAGTCTTATACATTATTTCACATCAAATGTAAATTGTACCATATTTATTAAGCCTCTATTTGGAAGCGCTTTTTTTCACAAATAATTGATTTTTGGACAGTTGAAATGGGCTCCATTTCTTGCACACCTCAAACACCCACAGCAATTGACAAGCCAATTGTTATTGCACTTTGCTAAATGTCATTTTTGTCCTTCATTGCTGAGCAAGTGTAAAATCATTGAGGAGCAATCATATTATTATAAATAGAAATGTAACATAAGTAAAATGCACTCCTACTCTACTATCCCTAGTCAAATGGTCACTGCATTGGGTTAATTATTTGATTACGAAAATTCTGATCAATCTATCAAAATCTAAATATGTGTTTAATTGCATTTACTTTCCATGAAAAATATCATTTTTTCACCCAAATCCTTACGTTGAAGTGTTTGATTGCTATTTTTTTTCATTAAAAATATTTTCCAACTTTTGAAAATATGTCTAATTTGTTTTGTTTTTAAGAAAAATATTTCCTTTGGGAGGAGTATGTTTTTATTTTCCTTAAAACAAGGAAAACATTTTCTTTTCTAGATGATATTTTTCATGTCAATCAAATACACTATAATATAATTAGGATTAAAAGCGCCCCCCCACTGAAGATACCATATGTTCTATAAACAAAAAGGACATATTAGTGTAAAGTACTATATATTTCACTCTACCAAACATGATTAAATTAAAGAGATTCAGAGAACAGATTATTCAGTTGATAGCCCCCCAGGGCACATCCAAGTTGGCGGAACAATCACATTGGGGGGCTCTGGAACCAAGTGTGGGGAGTTCGATTCCTGGTTGGAGCAGCCAAGTGATGTAATAACCAGAGGAAGGGTTGGAGCAGCTTGGTGATGTAATAACCATGGAGGAGGGTCCCTTTGGGGAAGGAGTAAAAGCCATTTTTTTTCTAGATGATATTTTTCATGTCAATCAAATACACTATAATATAATTAGGATTAAAAGCGCTCCCCCACTGAAGATACCATATGTTCTATAAACAAAAAGGACATATTAGTGTAAAGTACTATATATTTCACTCTACCAAACATGATTAAATTAAAGAGATTCAGAGAACAGATTATTCAGTTGATATGTAGGGAGATGGAGAGAGGCCAATATCAGCAGGTTCTCAAGTGATACATTAACTTCCTTTGATAAAATCAAAATAACCACCCTTTAGACCCCCCGAGACATATCCTAGTGGTGCAAAAGATAAGGGTGAGGTATACTCAATTTTACTGACAGCTACAGTGTGAGGGTTCGATTCCTGAAATATGGATTGTGACTCTTTGTGAGCACAAGTGTACAGACAGCTCTTGTTCCTTGGCATGTTGGGGCACATCCCGTGATTATCCTCTCTCACGATACTTCAGGGACAGGGCGGTGGGGAACCCTTAAAGTTAGGGTTCAACCTTCATTTTTTTTTATTTATTTTTTTTTAAATTTAAATAACCACCCTTTAGCGTTAATGTGCTCTTCACCAAACCCGATATGTCAGCAGGTTCCCAAGTGATACATTAACTGCAACCTGTTGCATTTCAAAATAACAGTGAATTTCAATTTATGGGGTTTCTCCAAATATCAAGATATCGTCTACAATTTGATTAAAACCATACGAGTCGACTGCTTGAAACTGTGGCAGCTAAACAACTCTCACTCTGTCTTCAATAAATTCATTGCACTTTTCAATCACTAGAGAATGAATACCAGGTGACGGGGTGAAATTCATATTTACCCCTTGTTTCATCGTCATTATTTTTTGAAGTACATTTTTTTTTTCAACCACATATTTTTCAATAAAATAATATTATACACAATCCCAAATCCATTCTTTATTTTTTAACTACACATTCTTCTATCAATTTATTATTCCAAAATGCATTCTTAAATTAAAAATGGAGCTCAAACATGCACTTAATAATATCATCATGACAAACCAAATTGATTTTGATTCANAATTTGGGTGGAACTGATATTTTTCATGGAAAATAAGTTTTTTATTTTCGTTTCTGAGTCTCATCCTTTTTTATGTTGTGGTAATAATTATTTGTGAATTTTGTAGTGTAAGTGTCTTTTTATGTTATTATAATAATTTGGTCGGCTTGACTAAAACTTTTGGAGGGATCAACCCTCTAGTTATAACCTTGTTCGGAGTCGAACAAAGAAGAAAATTACGACTCTCACTAAAAAATAAGACTTGCACTTCGGCCCCTAATCAAGAGTGGCAACACTTGACCACTCCACCAAGCCTGGTGCTCAACATCAACGTTTTGATGTGTATTCCTTATATACTCTGAAATATGAAATACAGATCTACTTTTCGTTCGACTCAAAGACAACCAAACGCGATACATGTCACCTACATTGGGGGCAATGTTCAACTTTCTTGGTGAACCGGAAGGTTTCTGTCTAAAGCCAAATAGTAGTTTTGCAAACCTATGAGGATTATACACCTAAAAAATGAAAGGTGAATTTCCTCGACGATAAGAAACAAATTCAGATTGAATATTCATCATAGATTCTGAAGTATCTGCAGATGTTGGTTGGTCATCCACATGTACATCAGGATGAGACGATGAGGGTAAGGGATTCCAGCAAAAGTCATTGGTGTCTATCATCCACGGATAAAATCCTGACAATCAACAACATTTTTCTCCCAAGATTGGAAAGCATTCAGAGTGCCAACATATCTTTGAATTATAGGGCGATAATAACTCTTGTCTACATGAGCATAAATACCTTGAACAAAATAAGTTGCCGCCCAAGTATAAAGAAAATTTCCAGGAAATGAATGTAAAATTGAGCCAAGGTCCGGGTTTGTCTGATAGTTAGACATTCATGTAAGTCCTCTATAAATGTCCGCTAATATGGGTGGAATCAAGCTATAAGTGTACCCGCTTGTCATTCTAGAGGATGCTTTGATAGTCCCAACTCTGATACATTCGTCTTCAAATGGAAGAATGAAACGACAAAGCCATAGAGAAAGATAAGACGCTATCTCTAATACCTCTTCTTCTTCCATAGACAAAGATACTAGAAAATTGCTCGTCGATCCCTAAGAGTAATGTCTCTCGACTTGTTTGCCACCACGAGCCTCTGTATTTTTTTCAATGCTCTTTGATGATGTCTCGTGAATGGATTTAAATTCATAGCATTTTTCTAATTTTTGTGTTGTCAAGGATTATGAACATAATCATTCTCGTGAAACCAAAAATCAATCCAATTTTCGTAAGTAATCCAATCAGATTCATTCGCATGGGCGATCAATGTGAAAACATTAAAGAGGTATAGACAAGACTTGGGAAGATGATCCGTCAACTCTGAGAAGCTTGAGACTACTTCCTCATAGTAATGACCCATGATCGAAAGCCTACTTATCTCGCGGATGTCCAAAAGAGAAATGTCGATTTTACCATTGGCGGTCACAAAGATGTTAGTATCTAGACACCAAACATCACAGAGAGCTCTATAGATAGAGTTTGGGTGATGGTAATCTTATGTAGCAGAACCGACTGCAAAAGATAACTCATGAAGATTCCTCTTGAGTAGAAATTTTTTGACCCATAAAGATCACTCTCAAAATTTTAGAAGAAAAGAAATCTCTCATCGACTCGCTAGTGCGCTTCCCTATCGTATTTCTTTATTATCAATTCTCTCATAAATTGCAGCTTTTTGGATGCACTCCATGTTCTAGGAATGATGAGACAGAAGACACAGAAAGAAAAAATGATTGCTAGAGTGGTTGGACTTGCCAGTATCCAAACTCTTGTAACATTAACTACTAGTGGGCATGTGCAACTCTGATAATAGCTCCAGAAGGTCGGGAGAAGAAATTGTCGTTGGCTTATGGATGCTAAATTTAAGTTCACCTCGTACACTAGTCTAGGCATGGTACCTCACATCAGTATCTTTGAAATGCAGATAACTTTTGCCCTGATTTTTAAGCTCAACAATTTCGTATAGATTAGAGTACATTTTATCATTAGAACTTGTTCCCGCCATGCCTGCAAAAAAAAAAAAATGTCAGCTAAAAAAAGGAGGGGTAGTAAATCTCTTAAATTGGTTTATCGTCTAAAATCACGAGTCTCCCAAATATGTAAACGCCCTCTACAAAAAGTGTCTTGGATGGTCGAATAAGCTAGTCCTTGGTCTTTAACATAAAGTGCCTTGGACGGTCGAAAGAATAGATCCTTGGTCCTTAACATAAAACTCCTTGGACGATTGAAAAAGTCAGCCCTTGGTCTTTAACACAAAATGCCTTACACAGTCGAAGG